TCACCAAGGGCAAGTCATGCCTGACTAATCTAATTGCCTTCTATGACGAGATAACTGGCTCTGTGGATGAGGGGAAAGCAGTGGACATGTAATTCCTTGACTTTAGCAAAGCTTTCGATACGGTCTCCCACAGTATGCTTGCCAGCAAGTTAAAAAAGAATAGATTGGATGAATGGACAATAAGGAGGACAGAAAGCTGGCTAGATAGTTGGGCTCAATGGGTAGTGATCAACAGCTCGATGTCTAGTTGGCAGCCAGTATCAAGCAGAGTGCCCCAGGGGTCAGTCGTGGGGCCGGTTTTGTTCAACATCTTTATTAATGATCTGGATGATGGGATAGATTGCACCTTCAGCAAGTTCACAGATGACACTAAGATGTGGGGAGAGATAGACACGCTGGAGGGTAGAAATAAGGTCCAGCATGAGGATTGGGGCCAAAAGAAATCTGATGAGGTTCAACAAGGACAAGTGCAGGGTCCTGCACTTAGGATGGAAGAATCCCATGCACCGCCACAGACTAGGGACTGAGTTCTGCAGAAAAGGACCTAGGGGTTACAGTGGACGAGAAGCTGGATAGGAGTCAACAGTGTGCCTTTGTTGCCAAGAAGGCTAATGGCATTTTGGGCTGTATAAGTAGGGTCATTGCTAGCAGATCGAGGGACGTGATCATTCCCCTCTGTTCGACATTGGTGAGGCCTCATCCGGAGTACTGTGTCCGGTTTTGGGCCCCACACTACAGGAGTGATGTGGAAAATTGGAAAGCATCCAGAAGAGGACAACAAAGATGATTAGGGGACTGGAACACATGATTTATGAGGAGAGGTTGAGGGAACTGGGATTATTTAGTCTGCAGAAGAGAAGAATGAAGGGGGATTTGATAGCTGCTTTCAGCTACCTGAAAGGGGGTTCCAAAGAGGATGGATCTAGACTATTCTCAGTGATAGCAGATGACAGAACAAGGAGTAATGGCCTCAAATTGCAGTGGGGGAGATTTAGGTTGGATATTAGGAAAAACTTTTTCACAAGGAGGCTGGTGAAGCACTGGAATGCATTACCTAGGGAGGTGGTGGAATCTCCTTCCTTTGAGGTTTTTAAGGTCAGGCTTGACGAAGCCTTGGCTGGGATGATTTAGTTGGGAATTGGTCCTGCTTTGAGCAGGGGGTTGGACAAGATGACCTCCTGAGGTCCCTTACAACCCTGATATTCTATGATTCTATGATTCTATTCAAGCCCAAATTAATGGTGTTAAATTTACAAATGAATTTTAGTTCTGCTGTTTCTCTTTGAAGTCTGTTTCTGAAGTTTTTTTGTTCAAGTATAGCTACTTTTAAATCTGTTATATAATGTCCAGGAAGATTGATGTGTTCTCCTACTGGCTTTTGTATGTTACCATTCCTGATGTCCAATTTGTGTCCATTTATTCTTTTACATAGGGACTGTCCGGTTTGGCCAATGTACATGGCAGAGGGGCATTGCTGGCACATGATGGTATATATAACATTAGTAGACGTGCAGGTGAATGAGCCTCTGATGGTGTGGCTGATGTGGTTGGGTCCTCTGATGGTGTCGCTAGAGTAGGTATGGGGACAGAGTAGGAAATGAGGTTTGCTACAGGGATTAGTTCCTGGGTTAGTGTTTCTGTGATGTGGTGTGTAGTTGCTCGTGAGTATTTGCTTCAGGTTGGGGAGCCGTCTGTAAGCGAGGACTGGCCTGCCTCCCAAGGTCTGTGAGAGTGCGGGATTGTTTTCCAGGATAGGTTGATAATGTGCTGGAGAGGTTTTAGCTGGGGCTGTACATGATGGCCAGTGATGTTCTGTTATTTTCCTTGTTGGGCCTGTCCTGTAGTAGGTGATTTCTGGGTTCCCATACCACTCTGTCAATCTGTTTCCTCACTTCCCCAGGTGGTACTGTAGTTTTAAGAATGCTTGATAGAGATCTTGTAGGTGTTTGTCTCTGTTTGAGGGATTGGATCAATACCATACTATGCCACCCTTATTTCTGTGCTGCTGCCTTCAGAGCTGGGTGGCCGGAGAGTGGTGGCTGCTGGCTGAGGGCCCAGCTCTAAAGGCAACAGCACAGAAGTAAGGGTGGAAATACCATATCATGCCATCCTTATTTCTGCATTGCTGCTGGCGGCAGCTCTGCCTTCAGAGCTGGGCTTCTGGCCAGGAGCCGCCACTCTCTGGCCACCCAGCTCTGAAGGCAGTGCTGCCACCAGCAGCAGTGCAGAATACTGCAACCCCCTTACAATAACTTTGTGATCCTCCCACAACCCCGTTTTGGGTCAGGACCCCTACACCATGAAATTTCAGATTTAAAATATCTGAATTGTGAATAGGTGAATTTTTATTGGACTTCTGTGCTAGTCATGGATTATCCATAATGAATACCATGTTCAAACACAAGGTTACTTGTAAATGTACCTGGTACCAGAACACCTTGGGCTGAAGATCGATGATCAGCTTTAAAGTCATCTTGTCAGACCTAAAGCCATATGTTCTGAACACTCCGGTGAAGAGAGGGGCAGAGCTGGCAACTGATCACCACTTGGTGGTGAGTTGGATCTGATGCATGAGATGCTGACCGGATAGACACAGGAGGCCCATATGATCAGTGCACATTAGCTAGGAATGCCTCATGGAGGACCCTGTGCAGAAAGACTTCAATTCCCTTCTCCGGAAGAACTTCTCCTGCATTCTGGGTGAGGTCTTGGACATTGAGTCTGAGTGAACTGTTGAGGCAGCCACGAAAAGCTGTGACCTGAAGGCAGTTAGTATCTGTCATGGTGGCACCCTACGACCCACTGGTGGACTCCAGTGGTGAGGGAAGCTGTCAAGTCAAAGAAGGAAGCCTTCCAAGAAATGCTCATGAAATGGACTCCTGATACAGTTGAGAGGTACTGGCCTCAGCTGTGGCGGTTGTTGAAGCCCAGGCTTGGGAGGAATTTGGAGAGACCATGAAGAATGACTTCCAGATGGCCTCAAAGGTGTTCTGGCAAAACATTCATTACCTTAGGAGGGGTCAGCAAGATGTTGCCCAGGCTGTACTCAGCAAGGGTGGTGAAACACTGACCTTGACTAAGAAGATCATAGAGAGGTGGAAGGAGCACTTTGAGGAACAAATCAACCCAATGTACACGCCCCCCTTTCAGGAGGCAGCACCGGAAACCTCCAGTGAGATCGAATCTATTTCTGATGCTGAGGTCGATACGGCAGTAAAGTGCCTTCATAGTGGTAATGCAGCAGAGGTGGGCGAGATTTGCCCCGGAGATGTTGAAAGCACTGGACAATGCTGGGGGGTCATGGTTAATGTGCCTCTTCAGTGTTGCATGGAAGACAGGTGCAGTATCTCTGGCCTGGTAAACCGAGATGGTGGTCCCACTCTTTAAGAAAGGAGACCAGAGAATGTGTTCCAACTATGGGGGGGGGGGATCACACTCCTCAGCCTCCCCGGCAAAACCTATGCCAGGGTGCTGGAAAGGAGGTTGCGCCCATAAGTTGAACCTCAGATTCAAGAGGAACAATGAGGATTCCTTCCTGGCAGTGGAACAATGAACCAGCTCTTTGTTCTCTCACAGATACTCAAGGGCTCATGGGAGTTTGCTAATCTGGTCTACCTTTGCTTTGTAGACCTAGAGAAGGCATATGACCGTGTTCCCCGAGATGTCTTGAGGGAAGTGCTGTGGGACTATGAGGTGCCTGTACCACTTTTTCATGCTATTTGGTCCCTCTATTTTTGGAGTGAGAGTTGCATTCACATTCTTGGCATTAAGTTGAGTTTGTTCAAGATGGACGTAGGACTCTGCCAAGGATGCATCTTGTCCACACTCCTGTTCATGGTTTTCATGGACATCAGTGCATCTGGTACAGGGACTCAGAGGTGACATCTATGCTGTTTGCAGATTATGTTGCCCTTGCTTCTTCAGACTGTGATCTCTGGTGCACACTCGAACATTTAGCTGCGGAGTGTGAAGTGGCTGGGATGAGAATTGGCAGTTTGGAGGTCATGGTCCTCTCCGAGAAGAAAGTGGACTGCTCTCTGCAGGTGAGGGGGGGGCAGCTGCCCTAAGTGAATGAGTTCAAGTATCTAGGGATCTTGTTCATGAGTGATGGCAAGTGGGAGTGTGAGATCAATCAGTGGATTTAGTGTGGTGGTGGCAGTGATGCGGGCGCTGTACTGATCCGTGATGGTGAAGTGGGAGCTGAGTTCTTGGACGAAGCTCTTGGTTTACAGGTCACACTATGTCCCCATCCTCACTTACAGTCATGAACTTTGGGTAATGACCAAAAGGATGAGATTGCGGGTACAAGTGGAGGAAATGAGGTTTCTCCACAGGGTGGCTGGGCTTGCTCTTTGAGACAGGGTGAGGAGCTTGGCTATTTGGGAGAGCATTGGAGTACAGCGGCTACTCCTCCAGATCGAGAGGTGCCAGCTGAGGTGGGTTGGGCATCTGATAAGGATGCCCCCTGGGAGGCCTCCATTGGAACTATACTGGGCACATCCCACTGGGAGGAGGCCCTCAGGCTGACCCAGGACATGCTGGAGGGATTATATCTCCCGACTGGCCTGGGAACAATGGGGAATCCCCCAGGAGGAACTGGAACCTGTTGCGGAGGACAAGGAGGTCTGGTCCTCCCTACTCTCCATGCTGCCATGACCCTCACTAGGAAAAGCGGCATAAAGGAAAAGGAAATAGGAAATATCTGAAATCGTTAAATTTATTATTTTTAAAATCCTATGGCCGTGAAATTGACCAAAATGCACCATGAATTTGGTAGGGCCCTAACTATAAACCCATACTTGAGTCCCACTGAAATCAAGTGCTTACATGTTTTTCTGAATAGGGATGGATTTAAACATGTGCTGAAGAGCTTCCTGGAACTGAGGCCTTATAGGTTTGCAGGGGTGGCCCACAGAATAGCAATTCGAGTTTTAAGATGTACGTTTATTGAAAGGTAATTCATTCTTTCCCCAAATATGCAATTAAACATCTTTACTTACACAACAGAACACTTTTGCTGCCATTTGCTCATCAAACTGGCCAAGGATTATCCGAACATCATTACCCTGTGGACAAAATAACGTATCTAAGTTTAATGCAGTCACAGGCCTGGAATAAACTATATTCAAAATTACTTCTTCTTCTAAGCGCCCAATTTTGCCACACTTACTCAGACTGAGGAATATTGTATTTTTGAGTAGGCCCTTTGAAATCACTGTGACAACTTGCAGAGTAAGGTAGAACATAACAGGTAAGATCCTCAGCTGCTGGTAAAAGCCATTTTGGAGCTATGCTAATTTACACCAGCTGAAGATCTCGCTCATTATGAATAAAGGTGGCAGAACTACATTTCAAACAAATAATTGAGAAATAACAATATTGAGAAGAGAATAGTAACTTATTTTGTATAGCTACATATTACTATTCAATAATACTAAGAAACAGCACAGATCAAAAGGATGATTTGCTTTGTCTTAATTTTGCACTTAAAAAGCAATTGCAAATATCTACGGATATATATTTTACAGTACACAGTCAATGATTTCACCTTATCAGTCAACATAGACAATGGACGCTTGTAAATGAGAACACACATTCACCAACTTTGATAGCTCCTAGAGGTTTTATTCATATTGCTACTCTTTCCATAGACGGTAGAACACATCAGTGCCGGGGGGGGGGGGGTTCTTTGGGAATCCACAATTGAAGTAAATAGTCAATGAAGGCCATTTTGCCTTCATGCCCAGAATATGTTAATGAAATTTTCAGATGACTTCAGAAACTGGAGCTAACTTTCTGTTCAAGTGTGAAAAAATAGTACAGATAAACATTAAACACAGAGCAGTCCATTACAACTCTCTGTAACTTAATACTGCAATTATTTTCACAACAGATGGATGATCAGACAGGGTTTGAACAACTTGCTTTTTTTTTTATGGGTAGTACAAAATGGTTTGTTAGCTTGCTAGTGCCACTTTTTTTTGTGAAACAAAATATCAATTTGAGTTTAAATGGTGGAAATTATTTAGCTTTTTATAGATTTTATAGATAATATATCTCATCAAGAGGTATGGTCTGTAAAGAACTATTTTACTCTTAAAATTATCTGAAGCTAAATAGTTTTTAACATTTGCAAGTTTTACAGTACATGATTTTCTTTGGATGTTCTTAACCTGTGCAGTTTCACTAAGCTTATTTATTTTGTTTACTTAGTCACACAGTAATAAACTACTGTATCTGAAACAGATACATTTAAAATCTAAATCCAATTAGCTCACATAAAACCAAGAAAAATAAGTTATTTTTATTAAAAGGAGTCTTATTCATATGAGCCCAAAAATGTTTGTTAAAGACAAAAGGGAAAAAATATATATGACAATGAAACAAACACACACCTCAATCAAGTTCTGTACTTTAAAAAATTATAAAACTATCCTGATTGTTTTGAGACCCTTAACTGAATTGTCAGACTTCTGTGCACATAAAATCTCAGCTTAAACATTATAGTATCTAAAAACTAAACTGAACTAAAATAAAATCAATAAAAAAATTTGCTGAAAACAAAAAATGAAACAAACAAAACCTGTTAAAGTTGAAATTTAAGACCCATAAAAATACAGTAATTACATTATAGTTCCCACAGCAACAAGAACACATCTTTAAAATGTGTTTTCTTGTTGTTTCATAAAACAGGAAGTATTTGAGTCACTATCCTTTATATATATATATATCACCTTTGGACTGAGAACCATCATAGGAAATTTCAGCCCAAAATATTAAGTTGTTAGTCACTGAGAAGACAAGTTTGAGAATCTTATTCTTTACTGTAGTGACTCTATAATTATTTTATTGCAAAATATTATGCAAATTGCAATGCACATTATGTCCTCTTCAGTAATACCCTTGTCCTTTTTAAATATCCTCGTTGCCTACAGGGGTTCTCATTATACTGATATCACTGTGTAATTAGTTTGGCAAACAACATATAGCCTGAAATCTTTCTACTTTGAACACGAGTGTGTGTTCTATGTTTGCTGTTTTTGCAAGGAAAGAAACAAACATTCAAGAAATTCCTTTATTAAATGTTTATGAAATGAGGCCAGATTGTTAAAATAGCTCAGCACCCAACCACTGTAATTTAGGCACCTAAAAAAAGTGACATGATTTTTCAAAAGAGCACAGCTCCCATTTAGGAATCCAGTGTGGTGTCTAGAGGTGAGCCCAGCTGTCTCTTCTCCTGCCTCCCTCCAGAGTTAGGGAAGTTCCTGTTTCATGTCGTGCTCTCAGAGAGGGTTGGGGAATAAGCTACTGGGGCTATGTGTTATCTCTGTGGGATGATTGTGGGGTTATGTTCTCTCACTTCCTACCACTCCCTTGAACAACTGTTGTGGGAGCTTTGGTTCCATATGGTTGCCTAAGGGATTTAAAGCAGAAGAGGCTTTATGAGGAAGGTGTTGCTAACATAAGAGACAGCAAAGAAGAAGGCACTAAAGCACTTGCAGGAGAAGTGGAGAAATGGATGGTACCACCAGCAAACCAGAATCAGGGACAGAAGCTACTGAACATACAAGAGTAGATAAATAGAGAGGGGCAGGGCTAGGGAGGATGTCTAAGGACAAGAAGCATGAATTTAATTTAAGTTCTGAGCACTCACAGCTGCCAAGTCAATTAGAGCTGTGCTTTGAAAATACTGAAGTGCTTTAAAATACTAAGTACTCTGAAAAATCAGGCCAAAAGGGGGCACCTAACATTAGTAGACAATTTTGGTATTAATCTCTCTGTCCCTCAGTTCCCCAGTTGTAAAAGGAGAATAATAATACCATCTGTTCTCACAGGGGTGTTGTGCATTAGTGTTTCTCTCTCATTAGCGTTTGGGAAGCACTCAGATGCCATGATGACAGCAGAAATGTCCAGGAGGAAATTAATAATTTTGTATACAGTGCAAGTTCGGATGGTAGTTAATAAGATCTAGGGACACACATTGAATGAGGAAAATAAAAAGAAATACTAAATAATTGCCTGTTCATAAATGAGTCAGGAATCCTGTGAGGGAAAAATAGGATGTTATGTCATTAAAGACTGTATCATAAGGAGGCTGAATTAAAGTTGCATGGGTAATCTTAATTCCAGCATTTCCTAACTTTGAAGGGCTTGACTTTGCGACCTGAACATTCTTTTAATGTAGGATTTTTGGATGTAATCTACATAGAGGAAAAAAGAGGAGAGAAAGAGAGACAGACAGATCTTTTGGTGCTGTACAGCCAATTCACACTGCACAGCCTCCATAATCTTGCTGTAAAATAAGAACACAAGAACTTAAGAACGGCCATACTGGGTCAGACCAAAGGTCCATCCAGCCCAGTATCCTGTCTTCTGACAGTGGCCAATGCCAGGTGCCCCAGAGGGAATGAACAGAACAGGTAATCATCAAGTGATCCATCCCTTGTCACCCATTCTCAGTTTCTGGCAAACAGAGGCTAGGCACACCATTCCTGCTCATCCTGGCTAATAGCCATTGATGGACCTATCCTCCATGAACTTATCTAGTTCTTCTAGTTCTTTAACAATCTGAAGAAGGATCACCCCAGAGTAAGGATGACCATCCAGTGGGATAGAGCCAATGCAGGGCTCTTATGTCACACACTCTGCCTGTTGCTGGTGTGGCAGGGAAAAAGGGGCATAGCTGTAGAAAAGGGGATGTGGCATTTCTGTTCCCCCGTGGCCATTACGGCCTGCAGCAGAAACATTGGAGTGCAAATGTGAGCTGTAAACCTCTGCCTTGCACTCTGCCATTTTGACATAGCCAAAGATCTGGTCCAAGATTAATTACCTCCCAGTGCTCAAAGGCAATTACTGCATGTAAAAAATACTGATGCAATAAAAATAATATAATGCCCACATAATGTTTATATGGCTGATTTCCCAGAACGGCAATCTTAATTTTTGCTTTGGGTTCTAGCCTTAAGGATAATCCCCTTAATCTTCCCTTTACCCCGCACCACTCTCACAGCCCCTCCTTTTGGACTCAAAGATTAAGACAGAACTAACTTCAGAGCCAGAAAATTCTGCTTTAAATCAACCAGAGGAATCATCAATTTGTGACACGAGGCATTTGATCCCTGCAAAGGATGAACATAACATACTAATTTAACAGTAGTCCCCATTCCTGAAGAAATGGATGACTGGGCCCACAAATTAGAACAATACATATCTCTATTATTCAGGAACTAGGCTCACCCAGAATACTGTATTTTTTAATGCTTTCAACCTTAATTATGTATAAATCTCCAGAGAAAATGCGACTTTCATGAGTAAACTGGCGGTTGCCCAGCTTTGCAAACTTGCTTTATATTACTGTTACCCCAGCAACATAGCTTGTGAATCATTTATTAACCATTGTGAGAAACACATTTTCAAATCAAGCCAAGGCAATCACTCTCCTTTTCATTTACTGTGGCAGTTCACTGAAATATCAAATCAGGAGATGGGAAAATCCCCATGTCACAGTGCTATAGAAAACAGAGGGCCAAATCCAGTGGTGATGTCAAAAGCAGTGTGAGATACATGAGAGTAAAGTCAAGTTCATCAATTTGGTGTTCCCTGGGAACTGCCATTCTTTCTATCTCTATCCCTTCCCTACCTACATAGGATAAGTAGGTGCCCTACCCACATTCTTCATTCATGCTCTTCCACTTTAATCCACTCATTGTGCCCTGCTGCTGGCTGACCTTGCTTGAGCAAGTCACTTCACCTCTCTGTGCTTCTGTTTCCCCATCTGAAATATGGGGAAAATGAAACTGACCTCTTTCGTAAAGCATTTTGAGATGTCTAGATGAAAAGTGCTGTGTAAGAGGTAGGTTATTATTTTTGTTATAGGCAGGGCTAGTAGTAAATCCTGTTATTAAGATTGCCTCACATTTTAGGCCCTGTTTTCAGTTGCTTACAACTTTGCCAGACTTTAATCATTTGGGCCAGGTGTCTATGGTAGGTATTATTAATATTGTTGTTGTTGTTTTGGAAGGTGAGGAAAGGAGGAGGGAATTTCAGCCAAAACTATTGAGATGTT